ATTTGATGTGGCTTTCTTAATGTGACTTTTGCAGGCAACGAATGAATTTTCATGTGAAATTTCGCTACACGTGGTTTTGGGTTTAATGCCAAAAAATATATATTTTATGTGCGATAAAAAGATCGCTAAAGTAAATGGATGAATTTTTTTGTGTTTTTATGATTGAAAGCATGAGTAAAGGCTTGCTTTTGCAAATGGATATGCAAGGGGTTTTGGATATAACGAAAATTAGTTCTGGGAATTTTATGAATTTTAAATTAAAGTTTAAGTGAATATTCTGAACTGAAATTATCTTCAAAATTAAATTAAGTTCGTATGATATTTTAATGGCTTAAAAAATCTTCAAAACAGCCTATCCAGTTTTCTGCTAGTCAAAGTCACAATAAGTCTAGATTCAACGGCGTTTAATGATTTAAAGACATTTGAGAGGGATACAAAGCAAACCAACCAAGAACGTGGACAAGAAGTTGACAAGACTACATCTAAGATATAGAAGGCAGCGATATAAAGTGATATTCATGTAAAAGTATGAACAGCTTGTGAAAAAATGTTACAAAAATTAAAAAAATAAAAAAAATGAAATTTTTTTCAATTATAAAACAGAAACTTTATTTGATTAACTTAAAAATAAAAATTCTCTAAATAAATTAGGCAATGAAAATGATTCTTTTCCATATTTGCAGGTTCATTATTATTGAAGGGATGCAGCCTTAACTTAATTTTAAACTTAATTTCTATTACAAACTACAAATTTTTTATTTGAAATTTCTAAAAAATTTCTATTTGCAATTTTTTTTCTTCACTTTTTTTTTGTTCGATTTGCATTTTTGTGTAAATTCTACTTGATCAATCACTCATTTTATGTACAATTGGATGAGCTATAATATTTTCACATTATATTATATTTTTTTTTCATACTTAATTAAACTTTTCTTCTTTTTTCGTTTTAGTTTTTTCTTTTCTTTCTTTTGTGATTTTTGAAGTTACAGGAAATTAGATTTTTTATTGTGTTTTTTTTTTGTTGAGGAAAAAATAAATTAAGCTCAGGAAATTTTCATATTTTAGTGTAGAAACGGTCGGTAGATGTGTCATGTGCCTCAAGAACTTGAAAAAGTCTTTGCTGAATTGTTCTTTAGAATCCCCCCCTCCCCTTCCTCTTTAAAATGGATCAAAACAAATCCAAATCCTCAAAGATAACCACCATCCAAAAAATTCACTCAATTCTCTCCGTGATTCGCAAAAAACTTGAAATGAATTTTTTTGAGGCATGGAAAAATTAATTATGAAAAAAATGTTGTTAGCCTTTTGATGTCAAAAAAGTAATATTCGGATTAATTCTTTTGTTAATTACACATTTCCTTACTTCATACCTTCTTAACATACTTGGCAATTTTTTTTTTCACTTCATAATTCCAAATTAACCAATCAAGAACATGCACGATAAAAAGATTAGGAAAGAAGTTGTAATTGGTTTTAATTTTTCTTCAGTCAGGGTTGGGAGATTGAGTTGATCTTTAAGTCTGATTCAATTATGTTGAGTCAAGCAATGTTAGACTGCACACTTTTGAGCGAGACAATCCCGCATTTTGAACAAAGTCCCGCCTAAAATCCTTTATTTCCCGCATTTTTGAACTTATTCTTCTTGGAAAATGCTTGAAAATTTGGTCTGTCCCGCTTTTTTAGAGCTGAAATCTGTCCATGTTCCGTATATGTATACGTTCGGTGTTTAGCAAAAACCAATGGTCAGTCTAAGTAGTGTTGAATTTGCAAATATTATTATTAGATTCTAGACAAAGGAACAATCTTTAAGACACTTTTACACTCATATTATTAGACTGAAGTTTGATTTTAAGGAATTCCAAAAAATATCTTCATGCTTGTATTTGTTTCCATCACCAACCCTGCATCTTTACACATCAAACAAGAACGTAAAAGTTCTAATTACTTTTGATGTTCACGCGAAAAAAATTAATTTTTCCTTAACAAATTATTTTATGCTTTATTGTTTATAAAAAAGATTTCAATATGTTCACGCCTTTGTGTGCCTTCCACCTCCACTCGCAAAAAATAAAATGAACAAAAATTATTATTTCCATCAGATCATCATGAGTGGTTGAGTTTAAAGAAGAAAGGAAAAATTGAATAGAAATTTTTTCAGGCTAATTTTCAACAAGTCATCACACTTAATCACTTTTGTGTTCAATTGTGTGGTTTTTTAAACAGAAAAATGCGAAAAGATTGGAAGGGAAATGGAATGATGAAGAAGAAATTTTTTCTAAGTCTGACAAGCATATTTAGGTTGAAGGATGAATGAGGTGTAGACACTAAATTGAGGCTTGTTAGGAGGTTTGAGGGGTTTAAGAAAGTGACAAAAAATGTCAATTGCTTTTTGACAAGAATTCAATAGGATGCCGATGGTTTTCTAACGTTTTGTTGCCAACAAGTGGTTCAAGTGGTCTTGTCTAAATTAACGGCCTAAGCGTGATTTCCAGGAATTTCTATTGTTCTTTTCTTACTAACCCCCCCCCCCCCTCCTGGACATCATAAGTTAACGCCCCCTTAAATGAGCCTAGTTTTATATCAATTCAGGTCAATTTTTGAATTATAGAGACAGAAAGGGATTTTTTATGATTTTCAATATTTATTTCCAGGATCACCCCCTGTCTAACCCCCTCAGTTAAGCTTCAAACCCACTTAACAAAATAATAACCACATAAAAATCATTCAACATGCACAAAAGTGAAGGAAAAGTTTCTTGATGTGTGAAAACAGAAACAGATTTATCCACAAACATGTAATTTTTCCTTCTTAGTCTTCCTATGCATGTGCTTATGTCTTCAATATGTTTATTCTTATTCATCATGAACCATATCAAATTTTCATCATTAATAACAAATTTTTATTTTCTGTTCATGACACAAGGGAGGACTTTTGGGGGTTTTTAATCATGTTTTCTTCTGCTTCTTAACTCCATGAATTGGAGTTTACTTTTAGTTATTAAAACGAAAAAGCAATGCTTTTGGGAAATCATGACAAAACTTCCAGAAAAGACTTCAAATTCTTGAGGCTCCAAAAAGTTCTAGCAACTGAAAATGTTCAAAAGAAAAGTCAGAAAGTAAATAGGCCACGCATGAATTTTTAAGAGGCTTATATTTCTTAATACTTAATTTTCTACACTAATTGATTAGCAAAAACTTTATTTTATTCCTCTTTTTTTCACAACTAGAATTTTAATAATCATTTTTCTTTAAAAATATTTTCATCAGAGTACAAAAAACACGCATTTTTAAATTATTCAACTTTAATTTTTTATCGACGTGTAAATTCATTTCACATACGTTTGAATTTTGTGAGTAATTGTTTGTATCTATTTATGTCTAGCTTTTCATTTTTTTACATAGGAAATAGTAAGTTGCAAGTCCACTTTGGAAAATGAGTTTTTTATTTTTTTTTATAGCAATTATTTTCTTAGTCATGTCGTTAATTATTAGGAATGGACAATTTCCGTCGAAGATGCAGTTTGGGATATATGAGAGGCTCAAAATCAGGAAGTTTTTGAGAAATTCATAATTTTGAGACTCTCATGGAAGAAATTAAGGTCCATTAAATTCAATATTTGTGATTCCTTTCGTATTTTTTCATAACTTTTAATTCAGTTCCAATTTAAATGACACATTTGAGCTTTTTTCAAAATTCTAAACAAGATTAATCAAATTTATTATTTTTAAAATCGTTCAATTTTCGTCAAGATTATTTAAAAAATTGTTTTTTGAACGAGAATTTGGACTTTCGTAAGTAATTTTCTTAACCTCAAATCAATCATGAATGCAGGCTGATTAAATTTCGATTTAATTTGTCATTTGGTCTATAAATTTACAGCATATCCCTAACTTACATTGAGCCATTTTCGTGCTCTGAATAATTATCAAGCTCTGAGACTAGCTTGGCATTCGCTAGTTTAAGTAATCCTTAGTCATTTCAACTTATATGACTTGGATATGATCTACTTTACTTTCTACCATACAACCAGCCACAGATCTAGATTTTTATAAATTAGGGATATATCCTTGATTTTTAATTACTGCTTTGTCTATTGCCAGAAATTGACACTGATGTCTTTATTTTTGACGCTTTCTTGTATTAATGGATCAAAGTTAAAAGTCAACACGAGTTTTGTATCAAATCAAGTTCATTCATTCGTCCAAGATTCGACAAAATCCGAATTGACTTCAAGCTCTGGAGTGGATTAAAAGTGACATTTCTAATATCTCATCTACAACTTTAATGCATTCTGGACGTGAAAAATGTCAATTCTATCCACAAGACTTAATCTGTAAAATGTTCTAGTGACTTTACTACTTTCTACAATTTTTAACTGACAAGTCACTAGCTTTGCAAAGTTCTACATGTCCTTGATGAGTTGCTAGTCTTTATCTTTAGTAATCAAAGGTTTGCTATAGTTCATAAATGTCTATAAGATTCTCTGATTATTAAGGATTAAGATTGATGCATTTTTATGGATATCCTCAAGACTTTTCCTGTAGATCTCATTCATATTTCAACAATTCTACATACTTTTTACATCATAAATTCGATTTTCTACAAAAATTTATTTTTTTTCATATCTTACATGACTAAAAATCATCTATAATGCTATCTTTATGTATATGTGTGTGTGTGTGTGTATTAATGATATAATAGATAATAATGATAATAATAAAAACGATAATATTTATCTCATTTTTGCGGTCCACGTAACCGACATCGTGATTTTTTTTTTCATCAATTCGTTTCAATTTTTCTTTAATTAAATTAATTAATATGCATATAGTATCACCACTTTGTTTTCGACCTTATTTAAATCGTTTCAATAATTATTTCTTTTTTGTCTATTTATAAGGATGAATTATTTAACTTTTATGTCACAAAAAAAAAGGTTTGTGTGCATCTCATCATCGCATTAATGTCGCCAACGACCATGAGTGCACGGGACACTGATTTCAGTAACTCCCATGCTTATAGCCGAGATTCTTTCGTTGTAAAAATAAGTGAATCTCACGGAAGTTTGGACGTGATGATTCATTTCGTTGCCAACACTCGCACATGAGATCGTAGATTTCTCGTGGACAATTTACAGGAATCGGTAAAAATATCTGTAATGAAAAAAATGAGAAGGAGAATGATGAATTAGAAATTGGGGATAAAAAAATGCTGTAAATACATAAAAATGTAATAAATTTTGTAGATTGACAGTTCGAGGAGGAAGAATTTATTTGCGTGCCTGGAAACTTGTTTAATAATAATTGTACAAGTTTTTGTCAATCAAACCTGCAGTTGATAAATTAAATTTGGATAAAAATATTCAAAAGTTAAGGTTCGATTCCTAGATTAATGTTAAAGAAATTACTAAATATACTATAATAAATGTTTTTTTTTTGGTTTATAAGATCCAAATGACTTATTCCTACTTTTTTTTATCTATACTTAATGGGTTAATGTCCTTTTTTATCTGAGTGACTATCTTCATACAATCCCCATCCAAATAGAAGCCTCTTTTTAACTTCCAGATTTAGATTCTCAAATCCAACTTATTTTTTTATCCATTTTCTCCTTAATGCTATCCATTGACGATCTCCTCAAAAAAATGCCACCCAATCATCATCCCCTGGCATACAGAGAGGCTTTAAAACATTAAAAATGTTTCTTCCTTTAATCAAAAGTCGATCCACGTCGTGCACTTCATTCGTCTTTAAATTAGAGAAATGTCAAATTTAAGGGTCGTTTCATCACTAATGAAAATACTTTGTATTTGCTGTCGATGAAAATGTTTGTACCGGTAGAAATGTAATGTTGTGTTTTAATGGATTGGAATAATTTTTCATTGAGAATTTTATTTTACGTGAGATGACGGCAATAAAAGTAGGAGATGATAAATTTTAAGGGAAGTTTGAGAAAAAAAAATGGCAATTGAACAATTAAATGAAGTTTAAATTCTAGGAATCGAACCATCAACTTTGCATCTTTAAGTCAAAGTTTTTAGAATATTTATTTTAATTTGTAATGCAAAATGTTCCTTAAAATTTGCAGAATTTGTAGAGAAAAATCAAATAAAGCTACACAATCAGAGCTCAGCCTTCAAAAATTTTTGGGTTTGGATTTTATATTTTCAAACAACTTTCAAAAATTTCCCGCCGAGGAAGATTTTAAACCCAAAACCCCTCCTGGATATAAGTCAATGCACATACATCCAATATATTTGTAGAAAATTGAAGACGGAATGAAATTGAAATAAAATAACGTTCATTCAATGTTGAACTAGAGAAATTGAAAATCAATAACTCATGACTGTGACACAGCAAAATTAAGAATGTTTTTCTTTTCTTTTGCCTTTTTCTGTTTTCCTCTCATTGCCTTTCATAGCATGTAAGAAGAAAAACTGTAATTTATTGCCGATTTGCCTTATATATATCCACATTCATTTTCTATAGAATTAAAGGCGACGAAAGTGGGCATTCATGCAAATCCTCCCATCTCATTTTCAATGTTACTCACAAATTATCGAAAAAAATTTTATGCTTGCTATTAGGCTCAATGCTCATAGAAAAATGTTCGGAGTGTGCCAAAAAAAAATTTCTTTCCCTTAAGTCATTTCTTATACTTTATATGCTCCTCACTCTCGTAATTGAAGGATGAGAAAAGAGAGAGAAAAAAAGGCAGCAAGATTTATTGGAGGAATTAGTGATGTTGTTTTTAAGGTTTAATCTAATAATATCGTTGAAAGGATTGGCAGTTTGGGTTAATTTTGTAATTGATTAGCAACTTTTTTGGTGTTTAAATTGAATTTGTTGGCTAAATTTATGGGGAGGAATGCTTTGAATATTAAGTGATGGCTAATGACATTTGAGAGGTCTTGTTAATAATAATAAGAGGAGCAATTATTGAATTTTGTAAGGGTGGGTTGATAATTTAATTGGAATTAGATATTTGAAGGGAAATCTGAGATTACTAAGCTCCTCAGCTTTAAAGAACCTCAACATTTTTCAAAAAGAAAATTCAATGCCATCACCATAACACAAAACCATCAAGATTAAGCAGAAATGTTTCAAAAAATAATTAGTAGGCTTAAGAAAACTGCAAGCAAAGCATCCCCCTTTTTCCATGTCGACACTAGATTACTGCCATAATCCTCAAAACTTTCTTATCATCTCACATTAATGTTATGCTATATGCCATAAATTTTCTCTCCACTTGCTCATAAATTTTCCAATTTTTGTATTTCTCCCTTCTTTTATTTTTTGTTTGAATATTTATATCGATATATTGAGATCTATATAAACATTAATGTACGGTTTATACACACATCGATGATTAGCTTTAATCATCCAAAAATTGAATGTGTTTATGATATTGTGGGATGTGAACATTAACAAACCTCCCTCGTTGAATTTTGTTTTGTGACAGAAAAAAAAGTCAGCAGACACACATACATAATGAGAATGGATGTGGAATGCTGAATCAGAAAAATTAATTAAAATAATAATAATGATAATATTGATAGGGGCCCCTAAAATGTCAACAACATTAAATAACATATAAACAATTTATGAACGACTTGACTTAAACCATGTATGTTGTAGTTATTGGGAAATTTTATGCATTGCATGGGACATTAAAAATTGACAACATGTGAAGTTTTATACTTCCTTAATTTTCATCCTTTTTATGAGGCGGCAGAAAACTTTTTTGTGTTTAATGCTTTTTTGAAATTTGATGCAGGGAAATGAGGAAGTTCTGGTTGGGGACCAACTTTTTGGGGGGTCTTAATGCTTTTTTGAAATTTGATGCAGGAAAGTAAGGAAGTTGTGGCTGAAGACTCATTTTTTTGGGGGGGGGGGGGTGTTTGAAAGTGCGTTTTTAATTGATTTTTTTTTGAATTTTTTAAATTTTAAAATATTTTTTTAACTCTTATTTTAAATTTGCAATTTTTCTGAATTTATTAATTTTTTCAAAGATTTTTGGAATTTTTTTTTGAATTTTTTCTAACTTTCTCAGTTCCATCAGTTCCCACCCCATCTTATCCAAACGAAACACAAAAAGAAAAATTTCACTGCCGCATAAAACTGCAATAAATTTTATTACTTATGTTAGATGCTATTACCGTACATAGTAGGGTGGTTATGCAGAATCAACGATTAAAGTCAGTTGTCGCCCCTCTAGTTATTCAGTTAAATAATTTTTCAATAAAAACCACAATAACAGGCAATTTATTTCAACAATTTTCCAATTTTATCAACTTTTATTTTAGTTTGTATCGATGGCGACGTGGGAGAGAATCGGAAGGGATAGGAAATGGATGTTTTTATAAAATTATTCCCATTATCGAATGTCGGACATGTTTGAGAGGTAGGGAAAGTGAAAAAGTTCAAATTTTAATCATAAATTATTTAAAAACTATAATTTTTTATGTGCATGATAAACGATTTAAAATTGTTTCAAATGACGCAGAGATAGAAACAATTTAATTAAAAAATTGTTAGTCTTCTCCTTCCCCTTAGTCTTTGGTATCTATAAATCGAGTGCATTGGCATCACAATATGGTCATTAAAATTTAATATTTTTGTGTTTGCAGAGAAAAAAAAACTTTTTTTTTGCCAATTTTTATTGAAAATTTATCTCTAAAATGCAATATATGCTGATGATATTGATACTTTGCTGATGATGCAAGTTAAACATTACTAGTAATATTAATAAGGATGAGGTTTTGTGAGCATGATGATGAGATTTTGGATAAGGCACATATTCATATATGCACACACTTTTCAATAATCTCATGCCATTAAAATTTATTATTTTCAAAATTCAATAAACTCATCGGGTATTGAGGGTTAAAAGAATATAGTGCTGTGACATCAGTCATAAATTTTTGGATATATTGTCTCGTGTTGATCACTTTTGAATGAGATCGGGAGTCTTTTGTTGGTTTTTAACGTCGTTTTAAAGTAAATTTTTATAATTTTATTGGAAATTTAAAGTCATGAGTTTTAATAATCTTTGAGATGCAGTCATGATGCATGAAATGATGATTAAGGGTTCATCAAACGGTTTATTGGATGAGAAGAAGTGCATATTTCAGATTTAATAATATTTGTGGCAACACCAACGACCCAAAAAACTCAAAATCCTCTCCAGTAGCTTCTAAATCAACATAAAATAAATTCAACTTACATGCTTATTATTATCCTGATAGATATGTCCAATATTCTCAATAACTTTTTCATCAGTCAAATTCTCAAATGGCTGCTCCCTGGCAAATGTGAGGATTTCCCATAATAGAACACCGTACATCCATACGTCTGATTTCGATGTGAATTTTCCCTGCAAAAAGTAATGAAAACCAAATTTGATGAAAATGAGCAATTAATTGTTACGTCTATGAGCGTGTCTATGCCTATTGTTTAGTATCAATATAAATGAGGGTCAATAAATTTTAAAATCTAAAATTTAAGGGGCGTATAGACAAAGTAAAGTCGTCTTAATGACAGGACATTGTCCTTACCCAAAAAATATATAGCATATGCTTCACACTTACCAATAAAACACTTTCCCATGCCATCCATCGTATTGGCATTGGTTGTGATTGTCTGCCTGCACCTTCTAAATGACAGTAGTCAGCTGGATATGAAAGTCGATTAATTACTGTACCCAAAGCACATATTTTAACGTCCAATTGTGGTCCAATTATGCAGTTTCTATTTGATATAAAAAAAGAGAGAAAATAAAATAAAAGGAACATTAGTCACAAAATTGTCGAGAGAAGGTATGCAATATAAAATAGAAATTTTCTTTATTCAATCAAATGAATAATGTTGATGATGATGATCAATTTTTCTAGATGGCGGTAAAAAAAAGTTTCTTCGTTCATTTAACCAATTTTAGCAAAATGAAACCATCGTCATGAATATTCAAATTCAATAAATCAAATAGCTTTAAATTTTTGCTCTTTGCCTTTTTGCATGTCTCTCTATCTTATTTCCATGATTTTGGCAATGATTCCTCGTCTTTATTCATTTTCGTTTCAGTCTCTGATGGATGTTTTGGGAAATTTATGTACAAGTACCCTTGCGAGTGATGTAAGTAAAATTTTAAAAATGTTGGGAGGGGGGAGGGGGGAGCTATTAGAGATCCAAGACGCCTACTAAACTCCATGATCATAAAAATTCAATTAAAATTTGAGCTAATGCTGCTCAATTAGTTGACTATTAGAAGGCTGACACTCATTTTGGAATCTCATTACTGTGGGCAGTGTTATTAAGACTAAGTATAAGGACCCTATCCTATTTTAATTTATCTCAGAACTTAGTTCCAAAAATAATATCAATTTGACCCCACAAATCCTCAAAAATCTCCCAAAATCACCACAAGAACCCTCTCAAAATCTATATCAACATCTTTCTCGCTTTCATTCTATACATAAAAGATGTATAATGGTTGAATGGCCTCATTAGTCGAGCATCAGAGAATGGAAAAAAAAATTCTTGACTCAGAAGTGAAGGATGATGGTCGATGGGTCTTCTCACCCACAAATATTTTCATATCTCACTGGTTCTCTTATGGCTCTTGAGAGAGCGACACAAGAATGAGCCGCATCATTTCTCGAGTCAATTCGATTTTCTTCATGCTTTTTGGCCTTTTCGCTTTTTATATTTTAATGATGGACTTTCTTTTATTGAGAATTTGTGTAGGGATGAGAATTCATTTGGGGTTTTGTGTGCTCTGATTGATATTCGTAATTATTTATGTTTTTAAAATGGGAATTGGGGAGTTGAGCTTCTAGGAAGTATTGGAAATTTTAAAGTATCTTGATTCTAGAATAATGAATGAATATGAGATTTTAGCTTTTGGAAGGTGGCTCTTTTGAGAATATTGAGTTATTTAATTTGTTTGACTTTATTGAAGCTGTAGATCAAGGTTTGGGGATTCAATTTCAGTACTAAACTGGAAGAGAACCTAAAAATTGAGAGCCTGGACAAGTATACAGTCCAATTCCTTTCCTAACCCTGTCCTGGCTTCACCATACACTCTAAACCCCCAATAAAGGCAAATTTTTTAAAAAAATTTTCCTTCCTTCATAATTCGCCATTTATAGCCTGATTTTTACGCACAATACACAAAATTGAATGCCTAGCAACCCAAAAGTACCTCATTCAATTGAATTTCCCTGGAAAACATAGAAACAAATCCCTTGGATACGCATAATAATTCAATAAACCCCCCTTCCCACCTCTAATCATATGTAAATATTCAGCAAATTCTACTCGAATAAAAACTGAACAACAAAGCAAATTTTTAATGATTCAATTTTTTGTACATCTCATCCTCTATCATTTTAGGCATTTTATTGCAAATTCAGTATAAAATTTGATGTTGCCTTTAAATTCCTCTCATTTCATTCCCATTCAATTCCATTTATTTTTCTGTAATAAATTGAATGTAAACACAGGTAGAATATTCAATATCCATCATCAAATTTGATGAGAATATATTGACGTCCATTAATTTAAAGTCTAATATTAAACATCCAATCCTTTTTACATCATTCACCCTCTCTCTTATGTCTATTTCAACTCAATTTCGGTCAATTTAATCTATTTTTCATCTGGAACGTTTCATAGAATTGAAGTTTACAAAAAATGAGGGCATCAAAACAAAAATAAAATGTGAAAAAAGTTGGAAGGGAAATAAAATTGGAATGTCCATAAAAAAAATTCCCTCCCTTCCTCACACTCTTATCGACTCGAGAGTTGAAAATGTTTTATGTCCATAAAAAATTATAGCAAACTCATTGCACTAGATAAAAATCGTAATTTACGTTTCATTTTCTTTGTTGCTCGCTAAACTTTTTTTTGTAGGGTCGTTCATTAATGACGTCTTTCGAAAATTGGGGGTTTCAAACTCCCCCCATCACTAAGTCTCCATTTATTGGGAGATTCATAAACCTAATGACCCGAACCCTTCCTCAAATTCTAGACATCCAACCTTGTAGCTTCAAAATTGAAAAAAAAAATCTCAAGTCGCATAAAAAAGTCATTCGTTGCACAACTTCCTTCTCCTTCTTATTTACAGACGACGGCAAAAGGAACAATCGACAACAAGTGCAAAGCAACTCCCTTGCGAAATGATTTAAAAATGTCAAGTTAACATTCGATAAGCTTCAGCAACAAAACACACACATAAAAATTGAAATTACGATTCGATGGCAATTGCAATTTGAGTAAGTACCGAATTCGATGTTTTCTTTTTTGTGGACTTTTGTTGGAGATGGCGATGTAATGGGAAATGGAAGACGTAAATGACGTAAATTGATGATGGGAAATGACATAAAAAGAGATGGGATTTGGGGGGTTATGATGGAGCATGTTTTGGGATTTGAACGTGAACTTTAAAGTTGATCGATTTAGAGTTCAAGTCCTTATGGAGACTATTACATTGTTTAAAGTCAAGGGTGTTGAATCTGTCCACTAAGACGTGTAAATTTGGCATATTAGAGTCAACATCGTGAAGTTTTTGAGTTCGATTCTCATTTGAATTGCCTCAGCTACCTTAATAAATCTGTCATCCCGAGCAAAACGAATCCAAAACGAATCCTTACACTCAAAAAATTCAATCATAAAAATTACATTGAAGTGCATTGCATACATTAGCCACAAAAGAGAGTCAGCAACAGCAGCATTACCCAAAAAAATATGTTTTTAGTTTGCGAAAAAAAGAACATAAAAGCGCATGAAGTGGAACAAATGTGAAATTTATGTATTTTCTTATATTTATTATTTTGTTATGGTTGTTATTCGATGTGTGTGTCCTTCGACTACATATGTACAATGCGGTAATGCAATAAAAATGAAGAACATGACTAAAATATAGCAGACCACAATCAACAGTCATCAAATGAAATTTAATTTCATCGATCATGAAAAATTGAAATTAATTTCTATGTTTTTATATTTTTTTGATCTCTGTTTTGTGCTGCTGCATGTCAAGAGGATATTGCTTGAGGGGTGAGAAAAACTATTAAGCAAAATAATAATATAGGAAGAACTATCAAACATTAAATTTAATGGATACTGGACGTCGGAAAGGGACTCAAATGTTAATTAATTACTTCAACTTTTAATGGATTTTTTCCTCTCATATCCATCAACATTCAGGTCATGATTAAAGATCCCATTTTGTAGGTGATATTAAAAAAAATTATTTTGTGTTTGACTTTATCTTAATTTGGTCATTAAAGGCTTGTAAATATGCTATAAACGACCACACACATCCATGCATACCTCAATAAATCCTAATTTAGTATTAAAAGTGAAATCGTTTCCAATTATATCTTTTAAATAGTCAGACATTATTGGGCTATCAACTTAAGATGCTGTAAACATGATTGGATATTCATAAATATTCTTGTGACTATTAATGTAGACAATTATCAGGTGGGCAGTAAAATTTGATGATTATGAGGATATGTTTTGACAGATTGTATTGTGAGGTGATAGAACAACATAACCGCAAAATAAGCAAAGCTATAAGTTGATTAATTTTGACAGTGAAGTTGGGGATGCGTTTAAGGAGCATATTAAAGGTCCAATCAAACTGTGGTTTACCCAGCATATGTTTGAAGCTTTATGCCAGGAGAAGTCTAAAGCTTAAAATGTATAAACATTTAGGAAGGAACCCCACCCCCCTTGTCGACTAGCAATCATAAAATACCACGACAAAAGCTTCTTCATAACAATCATTATCATCCTTATAAGCATCCATCAGCCTTACACATCACCTTAATTTTAATTTCTTTTTTTTTCAAGTTATGAGAAATGAGTTTACGAGTTTAGAGTTTTTAATTTTCATCCACTCATTTTTAAATAGCAATTCATTTCCTTTTCAATGGGATTTGTTCAAAACACGTAGCATAAAAAAATGATAAATTTGACATGATATGTGAGATGATAATGTACATTTATAAAAATACATTGAAACTTCACATTAATTCATGCTCGTATTAATTTCATTTCATTTTTATTTCGCTCGTACACATTATGAAATTTTTCCCCATTCCTTTTTCAAGCTCTTCTTTACTTGTAAAGTATAAAAATTTGTAGAGAATGAGAAAAAAAACATTAGAAATGATTAATGATTCCTTTCCTTTTCATTGTATACAATTTCTCATATTTTACATACTTTTTTTGTGTGTATTAATTTTAATCATTTTTTATTCGCCAAAAAAAAATTAATTTTCTTCATTGAGGCTTTCTGCTGTGCGCTCGTTTTTGGGCTACTTTTGGAACACAGACAATGCAACCTGATTTTTATATGCATTGCACTCAAACCCTCTTTCGTACTTACTTTTTCATCATTAATGCTATCATGATGAAATGATGGAAGGAAGGCAATGAAGCGCCCACAAATGGTTATTAAATTTTTTAGCATTTGTTGAAGCGATAATGTGGGTGAGAGTTGGGACATATTGTCTAGGTTTAGGAACTTTTTTTTTAAAGCACCCGAGTGTAAATTAATAAAGTTATTGATCTTTCAGAATATGCACTAATCTTCACTAGAAATCATCCACAATGTGTTCCTAGTTGCCCCCTAACTCTCTGGAATATTTAAAGTCTAAGGTATATTGAGTAACCACACAGAATAACTTCTGGACATGAAAGTATGCGCCCTCAACCAAATCCACCTAAATTTTTCATCAATT